CTACATAAGTAATGTAGGTCAGATCATTCCTGATGCAGCCTTACATTACTATGTCGACCCGTTTTATAATGTAGTTTGTTTTTGTTTAGTTTTATCCCCCATCTTTTATTTACTTTTCATTTTATATGCTTTTGTCTATTGTTGTTTATACCTCATCTGTGGTCTTTCTTTAAAACTGATCTCTCTAGAAGATGAGTTGTCCTGACTCAGTGAGACTAACCTGTATAAATAAAGGTTGAATGGAATTTACTTAAAATTAATAATTAACTTAGTCTGATTATCTTTCCCAGAGCTCATTCCTCGGTCGTCTGAGACATTTTGTTGACATCATCGACCCCAGCACCCTGTTTGTTTCAGAGGTAAGGCTGAATTTCTCATATTAATTGTTGTTTTTAGTAAAGAAGGAGTTTGGTCTGATATTCATATTTTTGATATTGACACAACCTGATCAAATCTGCTGAGTCCTGAGTAATGAACCTCAGGACTACTACTGGTATAACAGTAGTAGGTTGCAGATACGCTGTGTCCTGGTGATACTTAACTTCTGTTTCCATAAATATAACAGGACTATAAATTGAATAGGTGCTATGTAAACAAACTGAATTTAAATGAATTGAAATAAGCTGATTATTCTTGTGAAAATGCCAAATACATGAGAATTACATTAAAAATCCAGATTATCCATATCTAATAATAATGGTAATATGTAATCCACATTACAATATGAAATATCCAACAATTCTGATAATGATAACTAAATATTTTATTCATTATTTGATATTTATAATATATCTTACTACATTTTAATGTCAAATAAAAACTATAGGTTGGGAAATGGGCTATAATAACACAGAGACTTTATTCTAAAGTTCCAAACATTTGTTGTCTTGTGCGTTTCACTGTTTTGTCAACAGTATTTCTGCAAAAATATTACGTCACGTTTATGCATTTTTTCCTTTTCTTTTTGTAGAAAAAGTTACGAGAATGCATCAAACTCCTTGATGACCACAAACACGGCACTCTTCCACCTGGAGTATCTGATGAGCAGGTGAGTCACGCTGATGGAAAACAAGATAAATTATACTTTCAGAGTAGGTTTTTAAAACTTATGAACATTATTGTATAATGCACGACGTATTCATCAAGCTGAATATCAAAGATATGAAACAGCTGAGAAATCCCTGACTCAAAGACAAATAAAAATAAACCTAATAATTAACTCTATTTCCTCTTTATGACCACGTTGCGGACGTGTTTAGCTGTGGGACGCTCAGAAGATCAAACAGGTAAGTGGATCACCAGCCACGACTGCGTTCAGGTTAAGCACACCTTCATGCATCCAATAAGTTTGGCTCCAGACAGCATGAGGAAGCTTTCACGCTCTCTGCTGCAGGCCATCATTCACCCTGACACCGGAGAGAAGATCTTCATGCCATTTCGAATGTCAGGTATGTCCTCAGATGAAGATCTTTGTGGAACTCAGTCGAGCCACTCCATTCTGTCGTCATATTTTAATTAATTTTGTTGTTTTACGCTGACCGCCATGTTCTCACTGTGCAGGTTATGTTCCATTTGGAACGCCAATTGTAAGTGTCATATGGAAACCACACGTTTAATTCATGCATTTCACAGCAGCAGTGCAGATTTCCATGAGCACAGTCGCATTTGGGGACAGATGAAATAAGTTTGAACTTATTTTGCCACAAAATAAGCTCTCATTTCTTGGTTTCATCTAGGTCATTGGCCTTCTTCTCCCAAATCAGACTGTGATGTCTACCATTATATGGCAGGTACTGGAAATGAGCATGTTGTACTCTGGTGGCTGAAAGGATTCAGAACCTGTACCATTTTCTATATTTTTTATTATTGTATGGTTGTCAGATCTGTATGCTAGTTTTAAAAGTAGAAAACCCAATTAAAACTCATTAATGTGTGGATCTGTGCTAATCTAAGAGTTGAAAATAAACTCCCAAGAGCCACGAGGGCAAGGAGTGATATCAACGAGATCAAAAAGCAACACAAACTTACCCTAAATAACCGAGTGCCTGTTTCGTATTGGTCATTATCAGGTTTGTGAGTTCATTTCATGTAAACCTGTAACCATCCACGGCAACGTTAGAGCACCATCATGCAGAAAGAAGTCAAAGCGGAAACAGGAGACGTGAACAAAAACCTTAATTTAACTCACGTTGACCAAACTTCAGAGCAAAAAAAGGATCCAAACTAAACATCCAGCCGCGATGAACCCAAAGAGATGTACAAGAGGACAAACAGGTGAAGAGGAAGTAAATGACAAACAGACTGAGTGAGACAGAGCAGCAAGGAACAGAAGAAACACTTCTACTGTATAAAACAAAACGGTGTCACGGCGAATGGAAACATAGTAATACAAGGAACATAAGGAAACTAATTAAACACCCCCAAAACAACTAGGATCACACAAAATTCAGGACAAGGGCATCACACTACCTGTAAACTATGATGGTGGTAGTGTTATGGTTTGGGCCCGGATAAATAAGGCTGTCTGAGAGTGGTCAGGTCTAATTCTTTTCAAGTTCAAGTATCTTTGTCATTCGCATCACATGTGGTACATGAGGTGGAATTAAACCGTGTACTCAGGGTCCCACCCAAAAATTGCAAAAAATATAAACTGTAAAAATAAACAGTACATGAAGATCTAAGATATACACTAAGATATATGCTAAACAAACGCTTAACAGTACGCTAAAAGATCTAAAACATACGCTAAACACCAATAATGTAAAATACAACGCGGTATATTAAACAGGGGAGTGGTGGCGCAGAGGTTAGAGAAGGTGGGCCTGTGATCGGAAGAGCGCCGGTTCAAGCCCCGGAACTGACATAAAAAATGTGGGTGGGGTAGGTGAAGCACCCACATCTGCCCCCACCCTCATTCATTCTACTCTAGGCCCTTAACCCCCACCATCTGCTCCTCCAGGTGTCCTAGATAGCAGCTCTCTGCTCCACACAGAGGGCTGTGGTAGCTCGGTGGTCTGTGGTTGCGTCAGGAAGGGCATCCAGCGTAAAAATAACTGCCAAGTCTTCGTGCGACTTAGTTCACTGTGGCGACCCCTGAAGAAGGAGCAGCCGAAAGAAGAAAAAAAACAAAACAAACAAAAAAAAAACAATGCAAAATATTAAACAGCAGCCTGAACACGAGTCTGTAGTGAGTAGATGTGTATGAATGAATACAACAGCATGAGATAATCAACAGCATGAGATAATCAGCAGCATGAGATAATCAGCAGCACAGATAAGTAACATATCACCAATTAAAGTAGCATTACAGTGATAATCCTGATTAGAGATTCATGAGTCTAACAGCTTTAGGGTAGAAGCTGTTCCTCAGTCTTGTGGCTCTACACTTAATGCTCCACACAACCTCCTGCTTGAGGGGAGCGGGGCAAAAAGTGAGCGTGCTGGGTGAGTGGGGTCCTTCATGATGCAGGTGGCCCTCTCCCTGCATCTGGAGGTGTAGATGTGATGCAGGGGAGGCTGACTGGACATTAATGCAATGTAAGTGTGTTGTGGGGACCTGAGTTGCGCAGTTCTCCCTAAAAAGGCAAACTCTTTCAGCTCATTCTGTATAGACTCTCTGTACAAAGGAAAGACTGCTGATTTCCAGGGCTGATCAGAAGTAACGTCAAGTGTTGATGGTTAAAGTACAAAGAATCGTTTTGAGGATGGTTATTTGCTTGAACTGCTGTGTTTTCAGTTTGTATCAATGACCTCTGCAATCTATCCTTAAGGATGATCCTCAAACAGTGTAGGACTAACTTATTAAATCACTTCATTCTGACATGCCCAAACGTTAGAAATATTACATTTGATCAAGCTGTGGATTTTAACTCTTTCTCACATACTGTATTTATGCAGAAATATAGAAAATACTGAAAGGTTTGCAAAGCTTTTAGCACCACTGTATCCCTGCATTAATTGTCCATTTTGATCATCTAGTCTCAGATTTCCATTAGCCTACTACTCTGTGTGTTTGATTTAAGGTCCTTCCATTAACTCGCCTCTCCCTCTTGTTTTTCAGTGGTTGAACCAGAGTCACAACGCCTGTGTGAACTATGCGAACCGCAATGCCACAAAGGTGGAAACAACTTCGCTCATAATCATGTTTTATTGTTTCACCCCAACATTATCAGGCTTAACGTCCTTTTGGTTTCCATCTGTTATTTCTTTGTTTTTAAACTTATAACATTAATTCTCAATCATAGTAAGGAAAACAGAATACCAAGTTGCTTTGTGTTCTAGTTTGTCATATGGGGCTATAACTTTGTGTTTTGTTTGTGTCTTCAGCCGACACCAACGTCCAAGTTTCTTCAGGGCTATGTTGGAGCTGTGACGAGTGCTGTCTCTATTGCAGTGAGTTTTATTTCCTTCAGTGGCATCAGTGACCTTTGTATTCTACTTGTAAAAGATAATAACAGTGTTCAGGTTACAGTACAGGATCATTACATTGAAGAGAAAAAGCAAAGTATAACAAGAGTCAACTGTAAAATAAATAGCTTTGCAGTTAAAATATCATAGCTGGTATTTCATAAGATTTAGCAAAAATGATCTTCCAGAGAAGTGACATTAAAGTGTTTTATATTTTAGGTGGGACTGAATGTGCTGATTGGAAGGGCCAACAAGCTGAGTCCTGCCACCAGAACGGTCATCCAGAGATTTGTTCCCTTCCCAGCTGTAGGTGGGTTTTCAAAAGACCTTATTTATACGCCCATCGAAATCTGGACGTATTATGGTGTAGTCTCCATTCGTCTGTCCATAAACTTCTTATCCATGCAAGAAAATTTAATGAAACTTTATACATCTATGCATCGTAACTAGTGTCGCGTACACTTTTCAGCACTCCAGCTCCAAGGTCAATATTAAATAATTTTTGCTCAAAGGTTATGGATGTTTTTTTTTAATCATATGTTTGGGTTAGCAGAGAGAGCTGGATGAGGAGCTGTGTGAGGCTGCAGCATGCAGCTGGCAGCCAAGGACACCTCAAAGATCTGTGAACTCAGCTGAACTGATAAGGGTATAAAAACAAGCTGAGACGGCGGCTCGGGCAGATTCTCATGACTGGTCTTCTTGTGTGTACTTTATGTATATTTATGTAACCTGTCCTGAAAATCTGACCTTGCATGTAAATACGGTTAAAAATCTTCTCATTCTGTTGAGTGTGGTTCTTTTTGAGTAAGTAAGATAATCGAGAATATTTTTCTTCAACAGTCAAGGTCACAAATCAAGGTCAAATGTTATACAAGGTTGTTTTTTTCTTCTTCTTCTTTTTCTCCTTATTTTTTTTGCCTCTTCAGTCCATTGTTTATATATATATGTATATATATATATATATATATATATACAGTAGTCCCTCGCTACTTCTTGGTTTGTTTTTTGCATACTTGCTCTATCGTGGTTTTTCAAAATAAGATTGGACCTGACACACATTTGGCAGATTGATGGATGAGCCGCATGATCGGCATGGAATTTTTATTTAAAATAAATTATTTTAAATTATTTAGCACCTGTGTGCAGCCCACAGCTGCAGAAAAAGCTTCCTCCTGCAGCTGATCAGCTGATCTCCGCTCTGCAGTGGAGAAGTGGGCGTGGCAAAGAGCGGCAGGTGGCAGAGTGCAGCAGATGCAGAGAGCTGAGTTTTAGAGCGTTTAGAGTTTCGAAACATTGTTTAGAATAGTTATTTTAATATCACACCAGCTGATTAATCACTACGGTGCTCATGTCATCTTCAGCGAGCGCAAACATCTGCAACGTGGTTCTGATGAGACACAACGAGCTGTCTGAAGGTATTGATGTGCTGGACACAAATGGCAACGTGATGGGATCCTCCAAAATCGCTGCAAGACACGTGAGGGGTTTCTTATTTGTTCTTTTATTGAAGGAGTTTTAAATGTGGTGGTGGCTAATGGGTGAACTTTCATTTCCAGCTTCCCTCTTGCCTCTCAGCAGCAGATATGAAAACAACAAGCTGCCGTATTTCAAGTCATATCTGTGCACAATCTTGTCATCTTTATTTTCAGGCAATAATGGAGACGGCCTTCACGCGTGTGGTCCTTCCAATGCCGATCTTTGTCCTGCCCCCCATCACCATGTCCTACATTGAGAGGTTTGTGCCAAAATATGCACAGATGTTTTTAGGTCATTTTATAGAATCAGTGCTGATCTTGTTAATCAAAGTTAATTCAGTTCAGTTTATTTATATAGCGCCAACAAGAAAGTTAAATTATAGAAGAAAATTCAGGTTTGGATGTACTACAGGTAATTCATCTTTTGCTCCCCAATCCTTGTAATCACTGTTCTAGATTGTTACAATTTATATTCATTGCGCTGATCATATTTTGTTGCAAAGTCAAGCTATATGTTTTCTTAAAAGCGATTCAAAACTTTTAGTTAAACTCAGAAAATGTTGTGCCAGAGATGTTCAGAGAAAACTCACATTTAAAATACATTCAACAATACCATTTTTAGATTTGCTTTTTGTCTAAAGATATACATTAAAATGGTGAATGTGCTTAATTAAAGTCAACATCTGTTGTCCCATAAAATCACTTTATTATGGAAGAATGCACAAAATAAAGAATGCACCATTTTTCTTTTCTAAATATCTGATTCATTAACTTCACGCAGGCAGAATTTCCCACCCTTCAACTGAGCAAAACAGCCCCCCCCCCCCCCCAAAAAAAAAAATCTGCACATGGTCCAAAAATAACTCCAGGCATAGCAGGATCAATTCACGCTGCAGCCTCACGTTCTCTTTCCTGTGTGTCGACTTGTGCAGGCTGAGATTCCTGCAGCGAAACCCCAGACTTCGCCTGCCCATCCACAGCCTCGTTTGCCTGATTACGTTCGGCCTCTCGCTGCCCGTGGCCATCAGCCTGTTCCCCCAGATGTCTCAGGTACACTTTATACTGTCAGATGAACCACTGATCTCAAGGCCAGATGGCTCCAGGAGCAGCTGTGGAGGAATTCAAATTACATCTCCCCCAGTTAGCACCCACAGCCCGGGCCTATTCTGCCCGTCTTCTCTTGGTTAATTAAAAATGACTTTCAAGACTAAAAACAAAAAATTTAAAGCCGACTTCTTAGTTTCAGCATCAAGTTTAGTTTCTTCCCTTTTTTTAAATCTTTGGCAGATTGAGGTGTCTCGTCTTGAGCCTGAGATCGCCATGGCAACGGATTGCAAAGTGGTGACCTACAACAAGGGTTTATGATGGATGGCGTGATGTGAGAGAGGACGGGGTGCACAAACAGAACCGAGGCTGCATTCTGAGGAACTGTCACTGAGAAACGATCGCAGGCTCTGGGAACAATCTGCTGCATAATTGTTCACCGTAGAGTTCCGGTGTTACTTAAGTCTGGTTTTTTTTACTGTTCTCAGGAGCACAGCGTGTATAAACTTAATGTTTTTAAAGGGCCCAAAAAGGCCAGAGACTTTTTTTTTTCTTGTTGCATGCACTTTGTATAATGGAACAATCTCCTAACGCAAAATTAGTTTTTAGCATTAATATATTTTCTAATGTGCAATAGACTGTTCCTCACACTTGCTGTAGATTCAGTCTAAAGCAGCACTTTGTGCAGCTCAACTTTTTCAGACGAATACAGAGGTTCATGATGTTTTTTAAAGCTAATTATTAGGGCTGAACGATTTTGGAAAATATTCGAATTGCGATTTTTTTTTTTAACCTCAATATTGCGATTTAATATGCGATTGTTTTTCAATGTCTTCTTCTCATGCAATTTTCAACGAACACAAGCAATCAATCAATCTGTATTGTGTAGCTCCGGGATAGCAACTTAGCTAAAATGTGTGCACGAGGGCATTCTGTACCGCTTATCCATTGTGTTTACCAAAGCTGTAAACTCAGGCTCACTATATTAATCAGCATTGTGTCTTTCGCTATGAACTCCGTTATTGCTTGAGTTATTTCCACATACCGTTTTGAATTATGTTCAAACTGAGTACAGTAGTCACTCGCTACTTCACGGTTCGTTTATCGCGGACTCGCTCTACTGCGGACACACAGTTGGCTGATTGAAGGATGAGCCGCACAGTTTGCATGGATTTTTTATTTAAAATAAATTATTTAGCACCTGTTGCACCTTTGTGCAGCCCATACTAAAGGATAAACTTCCTGCTGCAGCTGATCAGCTGATCTCTGTGCAGAACAGAGAAGTGGGCGTGGCCAAGAACGCTTGCAGGTAGCCAAGAGCAGATGAAGCAGAGAGCTGAAATCATGACGTTCTGTGCTCTTTTAGAGCTTTAGAGTTTAGAAACATTGTTTAGAATATTGTAAGAATGTGGGAAGGGTTTAAAACACCTTTATGTATATATATATATATCAATACTAAAATAAACTACTACTTACTACTTGTACTACTATTCCTACTTTGCGGTTTTTCACTTATCGTGGGTCTTCAGGGTACGTATCCCCCGTGATAAACGAAGGACTGCTGTAATGCTTTCGAACAGTTCTATCAGCGATCCTGTCAGCTGGTACTTTGTGTACTTGAAGTTGAAGCACTGGTCGTTTGCATTCTAGCCATGAAACTATCGTAAATGACTTTGTGGTGTTTTTTTTTAAGTGTTGATAAAGATTTGTGGCGTAACCTTGAGAGATAAAAGCAGCAGCGAGGCAGGTTCTGCACAATACATGTCGTTGCGCAGCGTCTTCTTTTTTTATAGCCAAAGTAATTCCAAACAACGGACGTGCTGCTTCTCTTTGGCACCAAACTTTCAGATGTGTCGGCTTCTGTCGAGCCTGACGCCATTGTGCAACCGGTTAAAGCAACGTGTTGACTTCTCCCGTTCCCTGCTCTGCTTTGCTTCGCTCACTCACAAACCACGTAACCAGATCAGGTGACCAGTCAAATCGCAGCCTTTGCGATTATAAAATCTCGTTTTATCATATCGCGATATTATTGCAAATGCAATTAATTGTTCAGCCCTACTAATTATTCACATTGTCCTCTACTTGACGTTGGTGGTAATGCGCTGTAAACACACCACAGTGATGAACAGGTTGGTGAAGAATTGACTGTTTTATTTTCATATCTAACCTACGTGGAGCATTGCTAGTTTATTTTTGTGTTGTTTTGTTGATTCAGTTTCTGCTTTTCAGTTTCCACCCTCTGAAAGAAATCAGAAATCTGCTGCTAAATCTTTCTTAAGGCTGCAGACAGACTTCCTCGCACTTGGTGTTGTGGGTTTATGCACACAAATTTATTCAAGCTGCTTGTGAAAGAAAATAGTCAAAGCTGGGAGCTGAAAAGCAAACAAACTAAAGAAGCAGCCAGATATAAAAAGGTTTTTGAACATAGAAGAGCTGCAGAATAAAGAGAACTATTGCTTGATGCAGCTCTTCAGTAACATAAGTTCTATTATAGGAAGCCTAACGTGGATCAGTCTTCTAATTTGACACATATGAAAGTACATAAGAGAAGAGTCTACATCCAAGAATGCACAGTCATATTTTGTGGATTTATTTTTTAATATTAAATACACAAATTGTCACAAGTATGTATACTAACTATACATAGAATCAGTAATAACACAATAGACAGCTGTAACAAGCTCTTCCTGTTTGATCATTATTTGGTGGAGAACAGTGTCTCCTCTGCTTTTATGTTACTTCTAAATGATTTTCAGCTTTTAGGTGATGAGTTCTTTGTTTTTCCTGTACCCGTGCTGTTTCTGTTCTGCTACGTGTCTTAGAGGAGGTGAGGAAAAGAATAGAGGATGAGCAAACTTAAGAATGAGAAAAGCCACATGTGAGCTAACTGAAAATGAAGGAAGTGCGTGTCGTATGAGGTGATGCAATTCATACGTTGCTTTTAATTCAGCTTTAAAAAGAATAGTTACTATTTAAATAAGTGGCTTTTTATGATTTAGTTTAGCCTCATTCACTGACATTATTTGAAGTCCTCTGTCCCAGATTGCATGCCATGGAACCAGTTTTTTTTATTTATTTCCAGTTTCTGAAAAAGTGAATTTAAGGACAAAACTGCCTCCTCTCTGTCAGCGTCAGCCCTGCGCTGCAGCTGTAGATAAACATACATAAAGTGGCAGCTGATCACACACCAGCTTTCTGAACCTACATAATGTCAGATAACATACAGAATAACTAACTTGGTATTACCTTTACATCTTGACTATATTAAGGACATTTTCCTGCACAACTGACTGTACTAAAACCACTAGAGCTCAGATGGTGCTTCTTTTGTACATTAATTAAACTTTAATATATATAAGAAGAAATGTGATTGTTTAAAATGATTTGTACAAGTTTATTAAATGTTTACTAGATGAACAGTGAAAAACAATCTCCATTAAATGCTGAGTCCTGACACTTTTTGCTTCAGCTGCCTGGTCAAAATGTGTTTTTTCTTTCTTTTGCTATAATTCATTTACTGATAGTGGGCTTTTAAAAGGGATTTGTTGATTTAATAATGTGTGTTAAAATAATTACAATTTTCTCTTCAGGGGTTTATTGTGTCATTCAAAGTGAACTGTGCTTGGCAAAACAAAATAATTTCAAATATAACTAAATGTTGTCATTTTTCTGACATTTTTGTGCTGATCACCAGGTCATTCTTGAATGTATTTAAAAGTAATTTAAGCTTTCATAACAACTTTAAAGATTTTCCTGTCATACCTTCATGAAATAGTGTTATATACCTTTTTTGAAACGCCCTGGTGGTTGTGACGTCAGTGCAGAAAAAGGCGCAGTTCGGCCGCCCACCAGCAGAGGGCGCTGCTGCGTCTCGTGCCGACCCAGCGTCATCAAGCAAGTTGAAAGGTCGTCTAAAACATGGCTGCTCCCCTGGATGACATGTTATCCCTCTGTCTGGACCCCGGCAAAGTTGCCAGCAGCGTGGAAGTCAGATTTATAGACAACATTAAGGTGAGAGTCGCTCGTTTTGTCCGATTGAAGCGGCTGAGATCAAACTGAATGTGCGGAGCGTTCAGCTGCTGTTTACTGCAGCACAGTGCTGCGTTCACTGCCCCTCAGAACCATGTAAAGTTTCATTCATGTGCCTTTTTTAACCCCAAAATGACGCATCATGAGTTTCACTGTAGTTTAAACCGAGTCCAATTTAGTTTCGAGATGATTTTAATCCTCTGTAGTTGCATTTTTAAAAGCCCATCCCAGGACTTGAACCAGCATCGTTGCTGCACTGGTCTTGGAATGACTCGATAATAAATCCTTTAATATATTCATTGTTGGTGGGGTACTTATCGTTGAGATGATTTTTAATATCACAACAAAAACATTAAACGTTCTTTATTGTTTTATTACTTTACAATGAACCTACTTATTAATTATTTTGCTTTTCAGTTTACTTTAACGACCTTTACAAGCATTAGAAATGCTAAATGCAAAGAAAAATAATTAAATTCCATGAACTGAGTGTGCGATTCTGAAGTAACTGTGCTTTTAAAACATATTGCTACTAAATGATTATGAACTTGAGTGAAAATATATAAAAAACAACTAACAATTAATTAAATTGTCGAAACAGACAGTATTCTAGTTTCATATTTCCTTTTTTGTCCCTTCTTTCAGATTCTTTGCCTTAATTTTGCATGAGTTTGTTTATTATAATTTAACCCTTATAGTTGACTTTGTAACTGTTTTGCATCACTTAATATTTATTTAATTTACTGTGATTACATTTAATTTCCCCATGGTCAATCTATATTGTTTATTTTATGGTTACTAGTTAATTTATTTGTTAGTTGAAAGTCAACGACTAAATATATTTATTTTTGAAACAGGTTGCTGACACTTTATATAAAATAGTCATACTTTTGCAACATAAGTTGTAAAATTCAAATAATGTGCAAAAGTGAAAAAAAAAAACCTAGTTTAAATTTGGGCTGCATCTAATAAAATGTTTAAAGATGTAAATTTGATAGAATAAACTAAATGTCAAATGTTGATTGAAATATTAAAACATTTAGATTATATTATAAGATCAGTGGCATTTTTAAGTCTTTCTTTTGTCATCTAATTAATGCTAATTCTGCAGTGATGGTGTGTTCGTGTTTCAGGGTAAAGGTCTTTTTGCTAAAAGGGGCATCAAGAAGGGAGAAACCATTTTCACAGAGCGACCTCTTGTTTCCGCTCAGTTCCTGTGGAACGCTTTATATAAATATAAAGGTGAGGTAATAACATGCTGGTTGTACTGGAACTAAAACGTGTTTTGTTAAGTCACTGGTTAGACAAGCAGCTAATTTGTTGATGACTATTAACGTGCATGTTTGCATTATTTTATATTAATTAGGGCTGATTCTGGATGATGTATCTAACAATAAACAAAGACAGTCAGGGTGTGGATATAATGCTATGGTTTAGGATTTTCTATTTACTTTTCACGAATAGTAAATATATATATTTCTTACTAGTTTGTTGTGTGTTTATCAGCCTGTGAGTACTGCCTGCGTGCTCTGGAGACTGCAGAAGACAATGCCAGAAGACTCAGTGGAAACCTTGCGCTCACCCTTCCTCATCCTGAACTGTGCCGTGTTCGTCCGGAGCTGCACCAAACCTGCCCCCAGTGCCAGGTCCGTCCACCTGCAGCATCACTTCCAGATCACTAAAAACATATGTATATTTTTTTAGAGGCCAAGGCTCACACCAGGATCAAATGACTAATCCGTAGGTCTAGATTTACTAAAGAAGTTTCTCAGTTTTTTTATTTTAATTTTATTTTTTTTATAGTTTCTAGACAGGAAGACAGTCGTCACCAAACTGATTAAATTAGATTACGTTGTTTAGTTTCTTACATCGTTTCCTTTTGCTTATTGGGTTTAGCCGAGTTTTAGATAAAGAACGAATTGCACTAAAAATCACATTCTCTATAAGGTGTATAACTTGTGATATTATAAATATTAAAATCAAATGAGCAGAAAAGGTCACAATCTAAGAGCTGATATTATAGAAAACTCTTTTACAAAGTAAAACAATGTGATATCTAGTTTCAATGTGTGGACATAATTAGTGATTACCTGTACTTCCATCGCTGTTGTGTTTGTCATGCTGTTTATTTTTTTTTTAATTAAAGTATAAATTTAACATCATATATCATTATTTGAATAATAGACTGCCCTATGTGTGACACAATCACATCT